ACTTGAAGTGGGTTTGCTGATCTGCCCACTGTAGCGAAAAAAAAAAAAAAAGAAAGTGAAATGGTAGAAAAGAGCCGGCAAAGCAGATTGGATGCACAGCTCAGCGCATGCCAATTGGACCCCTAGGAATGGCAATGGGTTCGGCTGAACCGAAAGAATGGTTCCCGTGAAGGAAATCTCAGGCTAGCATCACGAGAAGAGTTAAAAGGGGAGCTCATCCGGGCTTTGGTCGAGTCTGGGTGGGATGGAGAGGGATTGAAGCTAGTGCCACCCACGAGGGAACAAGCCACTCCACTTGGGGCTGCGCAGGACGAGTGAGAGGCGATGCCACTGGCAGGTCAACTCTGGATCTCAGATGGGATCGTTGGGTCGCCCGGGTCACACTCCTGTGGGTGGAGGAGTCGATGACGATTGAAGGGGAGGCCAGCGTAAGGGGGAATCATTCCGATCAGGAGCGCGCGAAATGCTAGATTTGCATTTGACTTTTGGGCTGATCAACAGCAAAGCGACGATCGCACTCCGTTTCAGCCACTGCTCGTCATCATGATATGAGCAGCATCATGCCAGCCAGACTGATGTCTGGTCTGAAGGTGAATTCTCATTTGCCGTTGTGCCATCGGACCGGGACAGAATTCAATTCCCAACCACCCATTATGAAGTTGCTCACCGAGAGAAGCTTGCTTCCCCTCTTTTTTCTGATGTGGCCCGGTGACAAGCAGGAATTGATGGAAAGCTGAACAATTCTCCGAGGGGATTCCGTTTGGTAACTGTGGCTGGAGAAACCCGAGGAGGGAAGATGATAAGGCGCGAGAGTGGATGAGTTGGTCCCAATAGATCGGCTTTAGCAGATTGACTAGTGTCTCTTAGTCTGACTCGCGATTCGCTTACCGTATCGTATTGTTCCGACGCGCTTTTTGCAGTGGATGCCCCCATACATTCACATAGGAATGCCTGGTAAACCCTGGTAATCCTCTGTATGCGGATTGCTAACTCAGGTGGTCAATCCTGTGTAGATAGAATAATGGCCTTTCGTCCGGTAGCGAAGGTGGCAAATTCGAATCTGCCCGAACCTTTCAGTTCCTAACTCAGGCCAGGGAGGAGGAGGAAAATCGAGGAACGCAATCTCTTCTCCCCCAGACGGCCGGCTAGAGTGGGTTTTGTTCCAGTGGTTGGTTAAGACGGTCTTCTCCGTGGGTGTCGAAAGGGGCAGCACTCTGCGACCGACGCAAACGGCAGCAATGAAATCATTAGTTATTAAACTATCAGACTATGGTGTCACAATATGAAATTAGAGATGTACCTGTGATCTCATTTCCTTTCAAATTGAGAAGCCAATAAATGTATGAAATCATAATAATAGTAAAAAGCAATCTGCAAAACCTCAACCCGTGACAGTTGGGAGGAAGCCAAGATCGGGATCTGTCCGATGGTTGGCTTGCGAATCTCTCTCTTTCTCCCCTCCAGTCTCCAGTCTCCAGCCACAGCATCCACGGTGCCATACGTTTCAACTTGCGAAGATTCTGACACGGGCCGCCCGTTTCATTTTGCGCCATCGTGTCTATGGTCGGTCTGATCTATCATTCTTTAACTAACAGTGCTCTATACTGGCATGTAGTAAGTTGCAGGTTTAGAGGAGAAGGGGGATAAATGGAATGCTAGAAATGGAGGGTATGGATGCAGCTGTGCTACACAATACTGTGTAAACAGTCCTCAGTGTAAAGCATCTAGTTTAGTCGCCACCATGCAAACTCCCTCCTTCACACAAAACACACACAGCAGCAAACAACAAACCAGATCTTCACCATCAACAGGTGCATCATCTATGATCCGTACATATGCATCACAAGACTGGCTCATTTCCACCTCATCGTCCCTTGGATCTCGGATCATAGGTTCATCCCATCGATGCCTATGGGGGACCCGCAGGCAATCAAACCAGTCTTTCAGCCTCGTGCTGGGGCCACCATCTGCCGTACCATGAGCAGTGAACTTTGCCCTTGGAACCACCCACTAGCCAGGCAACCTTTTTTTTCTTTTTCCGCTGAAAATTTGTCAACGCTAGCCCGGCTGTGTTTAGTATTCTGTTGGAATTCGGCGGTGTGTTTTGACTGAATGCAAGCACTGCTTGCTGAGTTTCTGATCGCCAGTGCGGAAGAATGTTTATGTGACTGTTTGTTGTCACTCGCGTGATGCGATACTTTTTTTACTCTCTGCTCATCACCATCGTTACGCGTGTCGAGGTAGAACTGTCTATGTGTGGTTTCTGCATATGATGATGCTATCTATAATTGGCATCACCACATCATACACACTGAAAAGCTTGAAGGAAGGGAAGCTTCATGCACCCGTAGTAGCAAGTAGCAGCAGACTTTGCCACGAAGTAATGTAGTAACACCAGCGGCAAATTGAAATCCCGTTGCCTAGACAGACAGTCAGTCAGACAGACAAGCAAGCATGCTACTTGTCTACGATCAACTTCTGCCAGCAAAATATGGAGCAAGTCCGTCCGTTAATCCTAACGCTCCGACGACAGGACGCGAATAAATAACCATGTGGCTGGACACGGGCTGGCCATTGACACCTATCATACTGCAAGCAACTGGAGATCCTGAGAAAGATTTGTCGTATTCCTGAGGCAACATCCTGGAGGTTAGTTGCTTCACGGCTTTTGCTTTTGTGGGATACGGGACGAGGGCTATGCCAGGTCTAGCCTTGGTTTTTTTGGACTGGTAACTGAGACAGGACTTTATGAAGGTGTCATTTACGGGGCAATTAACTGTTGTACAAGCATTTGAAGGGTAATTCGATAGATGCCAAACACGAGGCGTGTATCGCGTGTATCGCGGAGGGATTATTTCTCTGTCATACAAGAGATACTGTCCTACTAAAAAAAGTAGTACTTCTGAAAGCGAAGATGATCTATGGAGTCAAATCCTAGTAAATTGTCTCAAACATAGAATGCAAGGTTTGCATGAAGATGTGACATTGATGAAGAGTGTACATTGCACAACCTCAGACCTAGCAGCGATCCCACCCTCAAACAATACCCCTACAGTAGTATCCAGATCATCTTCTTGTGGCACAGAGTGTCCCAGATGATACTACCGATGCTAATTCTGCACAAGCAGCTTCACATATACAAGTCCCGACCCACGAGCACATAGACACTATATACAACAGTCCCGAAACAAACTATCTCCAATCAACTGACTACCATTACCTTAAATAGATTTAGATAAAGAGCTAAATTAAACACCACACTCCCCTCAAATAAATTAATCAACTACCCACTCACCCGCCCACACCTATCTTAGTAGTCTACTTACAGTACTCCCACCTTGACCAACCACCCAAAGCAATCAATAAGCTTAACTAACCACTCAGATCATACTTAGTACTTACATACCAGCCCAGTCCAGTCCAGTCCAGCCCAACCCAGCCGGTCGTACTTCTGCTAGCCCCGTCTAGTACCTACCACAAACCTTTCCTCTCTCCCGTGAGACACACAGACGGACGGGGACGGGCGGACGGCATGCCATGCCCTGACCCAAAACAGCGGCCTGCAGTAGCGTGTGTAATCTGGTGTGTGTGTGGGAGCAGGGATCATTGATCAAAAGTACTAGAGTAGCTAAGCAGTTGGTTACTACTCTAAACACAGAACAGGTAGCACTTCGTAACCAAACAAGAATGATTAGATTATTAGTAGTAGTAGTGGCGTGAGCTCCAGACCCCTCTTCTCTACCTCTCTCTCTCTTGAAAGGCAATCCCAGCCATGTTGTTTCTTTACTAAGCGGCACTGACACTAGTTAATTATCTAACTAACTAATTAACTGATTAACGAAACTGTGTCCCGCCACCATCAGCCCAAAGCTCAGCTGACGGTCATGATGAATCTATTCTCTACCCAAGAGTCGATTTATCTAGCGATATTTCAAAGTGTGCAGAAATTTCAATAACAGTTATGAGAAAGAAAAATAAAATGAAAAAGTACCACAAACAGGACACCTACCATGCATCTTGTGTACTTATTGTACACTACTACTACCACCACTACTACTTCTACTAGTAAGTAGGGGTAATAGCAGATACCACAAACACAAATGAATGAACGAAACAACCTTCATACCCAGCGGATTCTATATCCGGCAGGAAGGAAAAAGGAAAGTATGTGACATGTCCCACCCCCACCGGACTAAAATAAGCAAAATAAGTAAAAAAGAATCTATCTATCTACTCATCTCATCCATTAATGGAAATGCACATCGTTTTTTTTTTTCCTCTAAAGGTCCGTGCGTGTGTGCGCGCGCGCGAGCGAATGATCTCATACGTACAGTATCTATCTATCTACTGTACACAGACTGGAAAATAATATCTCATATTTTTCTCGCTCTCTCTCACCGTAAGTTCTTGGTTTTTTTTTTTTTTTTTTTCCCCACTGATATTCTGTTAGTGGTGGTGGTTTAGTTAGGATCGATCGAAAGAGGGATTGTCGTCGGGCTGTTGATCGAATTACGCGGCGTCACGGTGAAGAGTAGATAGATAATTATATCTGTTAGGCTTATTATCCTTAGGGAAGGGAGGATGGTGATCCGATGGGGGGGGAGGGGGGGAGGAATAAGTGGGTAAGTTTGTTGTTAGTTTACTTTGTAGAATGGTTAGTTAGGTTAGAGGTTTCCGATGCAGATCGGCTTACGTGGCAAAGTCATCCTAAATACTAAAGTCAAAGTAGTTAGATACACGGAAGGGTAAGTAAGTAAGCAGATGGTAGTATCTGTGAACAAGTGAGTGACCAATTGCCCGCAAGGGATATTGGTCGCGGATTGGGAACCGTGGAACAGGTCGTTCTAGAAAACCCCATCTGAGGTGACACCAACCAGTCAGTAACCTATTGGGAAGCCCCGAAAATGCGGGGTTACCACCAGTAACTACTTACTTACTTTTACTTCAGACAGCTAGCTACAGGCAATTAAAGAGGTCACCAAAGTACGGAGTAAATAATCATGTACGACTGCTGCGACGATCCTGCACGTCGCGGAAAACAATCATGCGTTTGGGATTCGTACCTAATCAGTACTTTTTTCCTGTTCTGCCCGAAATATACAAACATACAGAACACAATACATCACAGCACAACACACGCTCCTTTTCAAAAAAGAGAAGAAAACACTGGCTAAGTAGATGAATGTCGACAGGGGAAGGGGTATCTCGAAAAGTAATTTGGATCGTGTCTCTCGCTCAAATGGGACCAAGCAATTCTTCCTCAAACGCATCAATTCCTCGAATTGGCGGATGGAGCATGAGCAGACTGAAGAGGATTTCGTTGTATTGGAATTGAAGGTCCGGTCGGAGTTGCTTGTGCATCTTCAGTAGCTCGCCTGTGGACCATCCGCGTTCCGACTCCTTCAGGTCCGCTCCATAGCCTTCTTCTAGGAGCAGCCAGATGAAGGTCTCGCAGGCTGGGTACCGGTCCAAGTTGTGCAGTCGCACGAGGTGGTGGAGATGGTTGAGAAACCGCCCGGTTTTGTTCTCCGAGGCTGCCAGATCCCACAGCGCCGCGGTAATGTAGATCAAGGCTGCGGTTCTAGTAATCTCCTGGGTGGGCGCATTGCGCACAACATACATGCGGTAATCCTGAGGCACCTGTGAAGGGCGGGGCCCACTGGAAAGTAGAGGAAATAATGGACTATCCATCTGGAAAGCAGTCCGTCGCTGGGGTACAGACTCCAAGTAAGAAGGTGTGCTATGTTGGTGCATCAGCTGCTCTGCTGCATGAAGAAAAGAGACGAGCCAGCGCTTCCCCTCTTCGCTCATCTCCATCGGTGGTGGGATCATCACGTATCGCACGTAATGCATGAAAACCTCAACCGTACTCTGCGTGCCGGATCGAGACCGGAGGATTTCGACAGCCTGGTCTTCATATTTCCGAGCGATTTGCTTGTCACCAAACCGATCCTCGTGTAGTGACATGCCGCTCAGCGCCAATGCTAGGTTATCTTCGTCGACTCCTGCAGATCCGATCCTTGCTTCTTCGATTCCCTTTACGGCCTTATCGAGATGATATTGAGCTTCCTTGCTGTCTTTCAGGTTGTAGAGCTGGGCTTTCCAGCGGGCGCAGTAGGTGAGAATGACTGCTTGGAAGCACAATGGGTGGCTCATGGCGGCCTTGAACACAAGGTCTTTGATGTATTTATTTTGGCCCGACCAGTAAGTTAGCCGATTAGTCCAGTAGTCGGCCAGCTCTTGGTCATCACGGGAGTAGACGCCTGGAAGAGAGTTGAATGGATCTTTCCTCGAGGCATCAAGCATAGTGACTGGTGAAGGCGACTGGTATCCATCTACCGATTCGGGTGGTGATTGCACAGGAGGGAGACCAAACGGGATCTATACATTAATCCGATTAGTATGACGAGCGGTGGAGACAGTTGTGTAATTAATGTTGAATGTATTGTATTGATGGTAAAGATGAACGTACCAAGGAATGTCCGTTTACTGAAGTTTCGCTGGGTACCTCCTGAGGGGCAATGGATTCGTAATCATCATGATTGTCTACATCTGTCCTCTTATGAGGCCATGGGGAGTAGCGAAGAGGGCGACTACCCCTCCGGTCGCCGTCCGCCCGGGAGTGGGATGACTTCCTCTGCCGGCGTTTCTCCTGAACATGGTGACGCATCACATGAGCCCGTTTTTCGCGGGACGAGGAATTGGAGTCAACAAAGTAGAAGATTTGGTTCCTGGAGGATTGATCATCGGACATAGGCAAATGCCTTCGTCGTCTAATCCTCACAGGAATTTGAGGGGGGTCGCTGGACGTTCCTGAGGAAAGGGTGTTGGTAAGTTCGTCGACTGGACGGTCAGATCACAGAGAAGGCGGCAAAGAAACCAACGTTGTTGTTCTGATTCAGACGAAGAAGTACCCCGTACGCCTGAGGTAGAGGAGTCGAGAGGTGTTGATTCCGCCAAAGGAAGTCTATCCGCCGACATGGCGGGTTTTCTTTTCCTTTGATTTTTTTTTGTCGTTCCCCTCTCTCCGTTTTGGTATTGTTGCTTACAATCGCACAGGGGGGGAGGGGAGGGGAGAGAGATTGACTGCTGGGCGGGATGACAGGGTGAAACGAGAGCGGAACTCGTTAAGACTGCATATTCGGGGGAAGTGAGATCACGAACACACACACAAGCCGCCAGCGAATGGGGACGGGAAGCTTTCTAAGAAGGACAAGGAGAACGCATTGCAAAATGGGCTAGTAGAATAGGGACTAACCAACTCGGACCACCTGTCAAGTCAGAGTAGTAGTAGTGAGGGAGCAGTTGATGAAGAGAGCAGCAGTGTGGTTTGCTTATCTATCCGTGGCATAAGGACTAACGACAAACCCCCCGACCTGTCCGTTCCATCTTATTAGGGATGGACGGGTTAGTCAGTGCTAGTGGTGGGGTCAAGGACAACTAAGAGGCCCCGCTAGTCCGACTCCGAAAGTTTATTTGACCTGACGGATTGCCATGATTGGTTGCTTGTCAGCTCAGGCTCCGGGAAAAGTGTCTCCGCCGGCGCTTATTGGGTGCGGAACGAAGCCCTCTGCCCTTGGAAGGGATCCGCTTCTGGAGGCCAGGTTGGGCCGGTGTGGGCTCGAGGACCTTTGCCCGCAACCAGTCTAGTCCTGGTGGGGTTGGCATGGCGTTCCGTGCGCAACTCCCACGCTGCTGATCTAAGCAGACTAATTCTGCCCCTTTGGGAAGGTCTGTCACAGTCCTGAACAAAAGCACTTTACGCGTCGGTATTCCGCAATAACCATTCTACCGACGCGTTCGCGTTGCATTCGCGTCCCATTGCAAAAGCTCGAACAAAAAAGAAGCGAAACCGCAGCAACCAAAACATCAACGCTGCCTGCCTGCTCTTGGTCAATTATTCTCTCAAACCCCACTACCTCTATAACCACCTTTCCTCTTTCTTTCTTTCTTTTCTTTTTTTCTTCTTCAAGGCAGGCCCTAGGGACCGATCACGTTTAATTAATTAGTCTATACATATATTGGAAGTCGCACCCCTCACCCTTTTTAGCGGCCTCCCTTTGGCCCTCCGCCTGACCACCATGTCTTCCCTTTTTGACGCCGTCCTGCAATCCGAGTTGGGCTCCACGGCGGGCTCTCGCGACCATCGTCTTCACTCCGATCAGATTCCCAGCTCACGACCCCAACCGCCTTCCGAAAGCAATGGCCCCATGAGTGACATGCATGGCTTTGCCGACGACCAAGTCGCCGATTCCAGTGCCTCGACCGTTACCCGACTACGCAATCCTTATCTTCCCGGACCGCCCCCGGTAAGTGATGTGGCAGGCGAGAAGGTACAGCAGGCTTTCGCAGAGCTCCTCGAGACCTACCAGGAAGAGACACCTTCGTCGGCACAGGCGGCGCCATCGTCACAAGTCTTGAGTGAGAAATACTACATCGCCCAGATCATGGGCATGGCGAAATGGGAGCTGTCCACCCTTTACGTCGATTTCACCCACTTGACCTCTATGAGCAACCCCATTCTTGCCGATGCCATTGCCAACCAATACTACCGATTCCAACCTTTCTTGACCAAGGCTCTTCATGACCTTATCGCCAAGTATGAACCAGAGTACTTCGCCTCCCACCGTCAAGCTACAGCCGCAGGCAGTGTTTCTTCCCAAGCCGGCACTTCGATGATCGCTGGCAACTCTAGTGTATCCGACAACCCTGAATTGGAGCGCAATATCCGCGAGAAGACCAGGCATCAGCAGACGGATAAGCTGTTCTCTTTGGCCTTCTACAACCTGCCCCTTGTTTCCAGACTACGCCAGCTGCGCACATCCCAGATTGGAAAATTGGTCTCGGTGTCTGGTACGGTCACGCGGACGTCTGAAATTCGCCCAGAACTGTCACTGGGAACCTTCATTTGCGAGGAGTGCAAGGCCGTCGTGACCAACGTGGAACAGACCTTCCGTTACACTGAGCCCTCCCAATGTCCGAACAACACTTGCGGTAACCGCTCCGGCTGGCGCTTGGACATTGGCAAGAGTACCTTCGTGGATTGGCAAAAGGTGAAGCTGCAGGAATCTTCTCACGAGATTCCAACTGGCAGTATGCCACGGACGATGGATGTCATCCTTCGCGGTGAGATGGTTGATCGCGCTAAGGCTGGTGAGCGGTGTATCTTCACAGGTACCTTGATCGTGGTGCCCGATGTCAGTCAACTTGGACTTCCTGGCGTGCGGCCGGAGGCAGTTCGTGATGATGGTGCATTCCGTGGAAGCGATATTGGAGGCGGTGGTGTTACTGGGTTGAAGGCGCTCGGTATCAAAGATTTGACCTATCGACTCGCTTTCCTATCTTGCATGGTCACTCCCGACACCACGACGCCGGGTCAACAGTCCAACCAGCAGCTGAATGGACAATCGCAGAATATCTTGGCTTCGCTCAACCAAAACCGCGATCCTGAATCCAACGAAGACCAGGCCCAAGAAGCTCTGCTTCAGAGCCTGACACCCTACGAGGTTCAAGACTTGAAGAATCTCGTTCACTCCGAGTACATCTACTCGCGGTTGATTGACTCGATCGCTCCCATGATTTATGGCCATCGGCAAATCAAGAAGGGTTTGCTGCTGCAGCTGATTGGCGGTGTCGGCAAGTCCACGGAGCAAGAGAACCTCCAGCTTCGTGGTGACATCAACATTTGCATTGTCGGTGACCCATCCACGAGTAAGAGTCAATTCTTGAAGTGAGTTTCATACCGGCTATTTGCATACTATTTTGCATGCCATGCTTATACGAAACAGGTATATTTGCTCATTGCACCCTCGTGCAGTCTACACCAGTGGTAAAGCCTCGTCTGCCGCCGGTTTGACCGCATCTGTTGTCAAGGACGCTGAGACAGGCGAGTTCACCATTGAAGCTGGTGCCTTGATGTTGGCTGTAGGTAACCTGTTCTATCTGGTCGGCATTCGAAACTGACGAATCGTGATTTAGAATGGAGGTGGTATTTGCTGTATCGACGAGTTCGATAAGATGGACATCAGCGACCAGGTCGCCATTCACGAAGCCATGGAACAACAAACGATCTCTATTGCAAAGGCAGGAATCCACACCACCCTTAATGCTCGGGCTTCGATTCTTGCTGCCGCCAACCCCATCGGCGGCCGATACAATCCCAAGACTACACTACGCGGCAACCTTAACTTCAGTGCCCCCATTATGAGTCGATTTGATCTGTTCTTCGTGATCCGTGATGATCCCAATGAAACAGTGGATCGCAATTTGGCTGATCACATTGTCAATGTCCACATGAACCGCGACGAAGCTGTTCATCCCGAGCTCAGCACCGAGCAATTACTACGCTACATACGATTCGCCCGTACCTTTAAGCCTGTTTTCACGGAGGAGGCCAAGGCTTATCTGGTTGAAAAGTATAAGGAGCTTCGTGCTGGCGATGCTCAAGGTGGCATGGGCCGCTCTTCTTACCGCATCACGGTTCGACAGCTGGAGTCTCTGATCCGTCTTTCTGAAGCCGTTGCCAAAGCCAACTGTGTGGAAGAGATTATACCCAAGTTTGTGCGCGAGGCGTACGACCTTCTCCGACAGAGCATTGTGACGGTCGAGAAAGATGATGTCGAAGTTGACGATGATGAGCCCGCAGCAGCGGAGGGTCGCGCTGAGGAGGATCATGAAATGGGCGATCGTGACCGTGATGGAGACAGCCCTATGCGCGAAGATGCCGAAACTGCCCAGCCCAAACGCTCAAGGACGAAGATCACATATGACAAGTACATGAAGATCCTGAACCTCATGGTCCGTCGTGTGAGGGATGATGAAGCGAACTCCGGTGAGGGTGTCGAGCAAGAGGATCTTCTCATCTGGTATCTGGAGCAGATTGAGTCTGAGATTGACACAGAGGACGATCTCCAGAATGAGCGTGACTTGGCTGTGAAGGTCCTGAAGCGAATGATCAAGGTATGTGCAATTATGTCGCTGTCACTTTTAAATGATCCCACAACTAATCTCAATTACTCCCTGCAGGATAACATTCTGATGCCCATTCGCGGGCAAGGCCTTGTGGATGCCGATGATGAAGGGCAAAGTGAGCAAGTTCAACGCACTGTCTATGTTATGCATCCCAACTGCGCCATTGATGAGATGTAATGTCTGTTTGGTGTTTGGGTTTAGAAAAGGAAACGCTGAGCAACGATTGAAATGGGTCTGATAAAGGAGCTGGTGGTTATGAGTGATGATATCCCTGTTTGACTTTGATTTGATATTGACCTTACGCATGATTTATCGGTGAAGTATATGTCTATAGAAGTGAGGTCTGGAGTGCATTGGTTTTAGGCATATCTTCTAATCTCATATATGACGCTTCATGATCTGTCAGGTTTTTCATCTTTCTTTGACTGTATGCGAGCTATATGTAGCATCCCGATACAACTTTTCACCCGGTTTCACTTAGTTATGGCTGCTGTATGAGCAGTCTCACATCCTTCTACCTTACTGCTCTAACCCTAGTCACCTTCCTTCCATTCTTGGCCACGTGAACCTGAGCTGGTGTTCCTCGCTTTGCTCTCTCTTCGCTCTCTCTTCCTGATTACTCTTGTTTATCTACGCGATTGTATGGCAAAGACTGCAATCTTTCTATCGATCTCTCATCTCTGAGGTGTGCCCGAGCTCATACTTCCTTCCTCTCATCTCTCTCGGCTGTGTCATCTTCCTCATCTTCTGTTCACCTTCCTCTCGCCTCTGATCTTCTTTCCTTTCGCCTCATTTGCCTCTCTCTTGCTTCTTCTGCCTTTGTATAAGCTCCCTCTTCCCTGCCCCGTTCTTCCTCCCTCTTCCGCCTTCCTTCTTCTCTCTCTATATAAACCCTCTTCTCTCCCCCTGCTCTCCCTCTTTCCTTCTCACTCCTCTCCTCTTCTCTCTCCTCTAGCCAGAGCTCGCGTAGATCCTTGTTCGACCCCCTCTCTCTTACTATCATCCTTTTT